AACACACTCCCACCGTGCAGCAATTTGGTCACATTCCTTGGCAGTCAGACCTGTGTATTGTCTCTGCCATTTCTAACACATTGATTCTAAAGATGCAGGTGGAAGCTGCTTTTGACCCAGGGTAATTAAACCACAACATGCCTGCATTTCCCTGTCCACTCAAAGATTCATTCTCAAATATATTCACCAGTGGGAATGAGACCTCTCTCTGACTGAGGCACATCTGGAAGCCTGACTGTACAAAGCACAGATCTGGTAAACAGGCTTGACCTTGGCACTTACCATTCTTCATGAACCTGAGGCCAAGACTCCAGTGACAATAAAGAATTCTGAGGTGCCAAGAATGCTTATCACGTATAAGGAGAAGCAGAAGCCACATACGGGAGCGCATCACCCCCACCACAGGGGAGCCCTTCTTCTAGCAGGGGAGAGTCGGACCCACTCCTGCTTCCAGGTCTCATAAACTGTTCTTTATCCTCCAAGTGCAAGACTCAGAAACATCTAGAAATGCTGGCTTGCTGAACAAAGATGGTCTCCAACCCAGTTGATGAAAAAAAAAAAAAAAAGATGAAAAAAGGCAAACAGCCAAGGATATAGAACTCACATCAAATGCAGTCAGGGCAGGTCAAGGTCAGTAAAATGATACCAATGCCATGACATCCTAGGTCTAGGACAACTGGAGATGTTCTGATTCTTTCATATCAATTCTCACATTTACACATAATTATGACACCTGCTAGATAAAATGATGAGACTCTATTTGCAGCCTGTGAGAAAGATAATATTGCAAGACCCAAATCCAATTCCTTAAGGAAATTCAGTCTTGTCCCCAAACATACCCAACAGGAGTGTTGTTACAAAGCCATCATTTATGATAATACAGTGTTGATGCAATTTGCTAGAGTTTACTCCCTTATCTTACTTGCTTTCTAAAGGGCTGAGAGGATTTAAAAACAATGTAGATAAAGCTTACAAAGAAAAGTTTAGCACACTAGGTGCTTGGTCATCACCACCTAAGATTATTACTAGTAGAGGGAATTCACACACATTAACATTTCTGTTTTCACCATAACTTTCTGTTAATGTCTACTAACTTATTAACTATTGGTATTTGGAGAATATTTTGTTCTCAAATGAAAAGGTACTGAGGAAAAAAAGCCCAACAGTTAGTTTTGGGAGCAACTATATAAATAAAAGCACAATTTACTGTTTTGCCAGAGGCAACAGATCTCATCTAATGTATTCACAGCTTCCAAGGAAAGCAGTGGCCATCTGTTAAATAAATAACTCATTAGGTGAAAAGCAAGTGTTTCCATGAGATTAACTCTCAAACCTGCTGGAGCCCACTGCCAAGGAACATGGGCAGCTAAAAATAATTTGGGAACTAAGAAAGTCAAAATAATCTTGTTTAAAAACAAACTGAAAAGAGAATCCAGGTAATGACAAGTGTAAATTTCTAGACGTATTTGAGAAGGAGTCTGAAAAATGTTTAAAACTTAAAAAGTTGCATTCTGAAGTCATAATAATGGTGGAAAATTCTAGATGAACAAAGAAACAAATGAATATATTCATTTGTATCAAATTGACCTTTTACCTCATTGGATAAAAATAGGAGAGTTCTATTAAAATTAATATTCTGGATAAGAGACGTCACCGTGCACAATGTGGTTTTGTCACTGACATCCAATGGCTCCAAACACAATCACACTTAAATAATAACAGTGAAACAGAACCCAATTTTATCTTTCCTTGTGTGACGGATAAAGAACTTGATCATGACACAGGATTCTTATAACATTAATCTCTATTGCTGTTTTCAAAAACAAACAAAACAACCCATGACATTGGATATTTGTCTTTTCCTAACAAGAATGAGAAAAAAATGTCTGTGCTTTTAATTTCTTCACCAGAAGTGCCTCCTAAACGAGTCAACAAAACTTAGTGATGTTTCTCAGATTAGACAAATGAAACAGAAGTAACTTCTGTTTACTGAGCATAAAACCTGAGGCATTTCTCCAGAGAGCCCATAACCTGTACGTCACCCCTAGAAGGATAAATGGGGGTAGTGTTTCTGTGTTGGTGACCTCCAAACTTCAGCTCTATGTTCCCTCCAACCTGTAGCACCTCCTGCCTGAACTTGGCCTTCATTCGTCTTACTTAAGAACTTGCAAGCTATACTATGGAAAGTTCCTGGTCAGGAGTGTAGAAAGCCAGAAAAAGACCAAAAGTGACTAGAGTGTGATAATTCCAACAGACAGTGTGTGACAGAAAAGGCACAAAGCTGATGTGACCCTTCACAGATCACCGAGAAAAGTCCTTGAAAAAATGGCTAATCCTCCATTTATGTGAAAATATGGTGAATACTGAAATGATCTCAGAGATCAGTGATGATGGGCATACTTTATGCTCCTGCTCCTCTCCTGGAGAGCACACCCACTGTGATTCCATTTGACCCCAAATTACCCAAGGGAAAATTGGGAGTAGTGAGCAACTTCCATTAACCAGACAAGTGGCCTGAATGGAACACTTGTCATCTGTAAGCCTCCTCTTCCTTCTCATGAAAGGGAGAAGGGTAGAAGCAAAACAGATATAGATCATCACTGACTCGGTTAAGTTACCACATGTTCATTGTGGACATGGAACCACCCTGGGGTTTTGGGTCATAAAGCTGGCCTATGATTGTGCATGAGGGAAAAAGGGGCAAGGGATGGGCTGATGAAAGTCAGTCTGGATTGAGTCAGCATCCTTGGGTTCTGATCCTGGTCCAGAGTTTGGAGATCCATGGTAGTAAACATCTCTTTTGTTCCCAACACCAAGTTTTTAACTTGGAGTGATGGTTAATATTGATTGACAACTTGACGAGGATCTAGAATCACCTAGGAGACAAGCCTCCGGGCATAGCTGTGAGAGAGTATGTGGATGAGGTTGAGGTAGAGAGAGCTATTTTGTGTCCAGCACCATTTCATAACTTGGAATCTTGAATGGAATAGAAAAGAGAAAGTGAGCCGAATTGTATCATTCATCACTCTCTGCTTCTTGATTGTGGATGCAATGTGATAAGCTGCCCCTCAAACCCCTCACACCATGACTTCCCCACCATGATAGGCTGCCCTCAAAATATGAATTGAAACAGTTTCATCCTTAAGTTGATTTTATATTTTAATTTTCATTTATTCTTTGAAAACTTCATACATGTACACAATGTGTCTTGATCATATCCACCATTCCAATCTCCCCCCAAGACTCCCATCACAGCTCCTGTTCAATTCATGCCCTTCTTTTATAATTTTTATTTATTAATTTTAACCCACTGAGACAAGTCAGTGCTATCTTACACACATGTATATAGAGTCATCATTGGGGCCTAGGGAACCTACCAGTAGCCATATATTTAAGGTACGGTGACTTTCTCTCAGTAGTCATCAACCTCAAATAGCTAGGGGTGAGACCTCAGGAGCCCCCCACCCATGCTGGAATTTTTAACTGGCTTCATCTTGGACTTTTGTCATGTATTTTGCCACAGCAACAAAGAAAGAAACTAATACACCTGGATATGTAGGGGGTTTTCTTTGGGGGGGGCTTCTATTTTGTTATCTGTAAATCTTTATATATGAATGCTTTTTAACCAAGTTTCCATGGACATCTTGAGTCCATGGATGGGATTTGGGCTGCTCACAACCCCTCAAAATGTCTGAACATTTTGTGATAGTGCCAAAGAGGTTGCAGCTCAAAAACCATTAACAATCACTTGAATCAATGAAATAACGAAATATTTGATGCCTTCCAGCTCTAACATTCAATAATTCAAATAGCAAAAATGCAAACTGTGAACATGACTATCATGTAGGACAAAGCAAGCAGTAACTACTCAACTAAACCTAACAGCAGATGCACAGACAGCCCTCCTGACAATCAAGGCTTTGACACTTTACCATAGCCTGCAGATCTGAGAAATCTTGCAGGTAGCAGGACCTTAGGACTTGTTCATCACCAAAGCTAGGCCAGGAGCCAGCAATTCTGTTTCTTCCCTTTTCAGGAACATTGGGAAGCAAGAAAAGAAATGAGACTGTATGTTTTGATACTAAGTTCTGAGTCAAAGCTGCTCTACCTTGAGCAGCATAAACAATCAGTCTCTAGAGTCAGAGGTCCTAGATGCTCACTCCTGAGCCTTCTTTGGAAAAGAAGGGTTTTAAAAAGCCACTGGAGAATGCAAATTGAATTATAAGGGAAAAAGTAGAATTCTGGAAATACAAAAATGACCATATGATCATTTTAGTTTAGATCTACCTTTGCTTGCTTGGTACAGAACACATCTCCCCAAGTCCAATGAATTATAAAGTATGAATTTTCTAAAGTCATCCACTGTTCCATGGAATCCTGACCTTATCTCCCAGTAGGTCTCCATGACCAAAGCCTGATCTCCCATGAGTTCATCCTGGCTGTCAGTCACGAAGAAGATAAAGAAACAGAGTAACAGGCAGATCCAAGGCTGCCCTCTGCCTCTAAGGCAGCTCAGCTTCTCAGAAAAATCCAAGTTGAAAAATCCAAGAGTCATTTCTCCTTCCCTTGGTGGGAAGGAATTCCCCACAAATAAACTAGCAAGAAGGAGGCTGGAGAAAGACTCAGCTCTTGAGGCCAGTAGACTCATGCTCAAATTCTAGACTGAATGCGTACCAGGATGAGCCAGGTTAGAGTGGTACATAATCTCTTTGAGCTTGTATCTTTCCCTATAAAGTAGAACAGCAATAGTTCCAAGGCATAAAGGTATTCAGCATCATCATAATACAAAGGAACCCTTTACACAGCTTCATAATTTCAATGATGTTATTGATGCCACCAGTGCTATTATAACTGCTGTTATTATCAAGGCTCCTGTTAGAATCACAGATTGTGATGGAGTTCCCAACACACAAACCCAATGATTCCATGGCTGTTGCCTTTGTTCTTAACTCATATGCCTAAGTCACCCTGCTAAGCAGCAAGGGAGTGTAGGATGTTACCTTCCTTTTGTTGGTGGGATTGACATAGAGGTAACTGAGGACTGTCTTCAACCCCACTTTGTCATTTAGCTTTTCATAGGTGGTGCCGTAATCTGTTGACCTGCAGCAAGAAAAAGAGGAAAAGAAAAAGGAAGACTGTTTAATCAAATGAGGAATCATGTTTAAAGGGAAGCCAGCCCCCTGCAATTCGACCTTCATCGTCATTCCCAAATCACATGAGTGCTTGAAAGTGTTTTTCAGAGATAAAAAGCCCCATTAGTTTGAGAAGAGTAATTAGACTAATGCATCTTCATACTCCTAAGCTTGTTCTCCTTTGCCCCTGGCCTTTCTCAAAGACCTACTTTCTTGCCCCTTGTGAAGCTATGCAGTGAATGGAGCTGCTGGAGACCACCTGCCTCCTACACAGCTCACTCCGTAGCTCTGTATGGGGCGCTGGACGGGGCACAAGTTCACACCAACCAGCCATCTATCCTAGAGATGTGCGTGAAGGCCACAGAGTGATATGCTAGAATTTTTGTGCAACATCAGACTGTAAGCAACTTCACACCTACCCCACTGAGAATGAAGCAAAGGAGAATTCGCAGGTACAGGAACTGTCCAAGGACATATGTCCAGTGGTCAAATAAGGTTACACCAGGAAGAAAGTCTGATGTTTTATGTAGGACAGTGGTGTGTCCCAGATCAAAAGTCAAGGATACAGAAGTGGTCCCAGTGGTTCCTCATTCTAACTATGTGCTGGCTACCTGCTCTTCCCTTGAGCCAAGTTTTCAGAAGATTAACCTGATGCTGAAACTGACATAAGGCAGGTCGACCACTGGCTTCTTTCTATCTCTCCTGGCCTTCCACCCTTCTATGGTGAAGAAGAGGAAGAAAGTGACGGGCAGTAGGGTTGAGGTGACCATTCTCCCTTCCACACTCTGCCCAGTCAATATTCCACCCCTATACAGAAAACTGGCACTATCAGACCTTCTCCTCCTGTGTTACATCACTGTCCTTGGCTAGACACGGGACTCTTCCCCAACTTTGGCTTTAGAAGGTTAATTTATTTTGCCGTCAGGTTAACTGTAAATGTGAGTCACTGTACCTCTCAATCTGGTGCAAACTCTAGATGTGTGTCTCTCCTTGATTTTGGCATCTAGATACTCAGTAACCACCTGCGCTTGTCTTTCTTTGATCCATCCTCAAACTCCAATCTGGCTCTGCCTTGGCTCACAGCTTAGCCTGGCAAATCTGTGTGATGACCCTTATGGAATATTCCCATAAGGCCTCCCAATACCACCCATTATCCTCTGCATGAGAATGTGTTCCCTATGCTCTGCGCCTAATGCTTATTCTCAATGCTCCTTTTCTGAATCTTTGGGAGTGTCATGATTATTTACTTTATGTTCTCTTTCTTAACCACAAGGTAAGCTCCTCAGAGTCAAGGAACTTCACAAAGCACCATGAAAAGAATGAAGAACATGTGGCTTGAGAGATGGCTCAGCAGTTATGAGCACAGACTGCTCTTACAGAGGACCTGGATTCGATTCCTAGCACCCACATGGAAGCTAACAACTGTCTGTAACTCCAGTTCCAGGGAAATCTGATGCCTTCTTCTGACTTCCATGGGCATCGCACAACATAGGTGCACCTACACACATGCAAGCAATACACTCATACACACAAAATAAAAATAAATAAATACATAATAAATAAATGAATACATAATAAATAAATAAATAGAATGAAGAATATGTACTCTGGAGGTAGGAAAATCTGTCTCATTCAGATCTACAGCTCTCAATTTACATGACATGGGCAATTCATTAACCTACTGGAGCTTGAGATTTCTTACCTGAAAACAGGGATAATTTAGCCCCCAAAATTTGTGAAGATATGGAAATATGACACATGACAAGCAAAAGAGAATCCAGGAAAGAGAATGATGAAAATAAACAAAAATGAAGAAGTACTTATTCATTTCTCCTTTCCACAGAAGATATAAAACATGGTCTTACACATTATGTACACTCAGCATGCTTACTGAATAAATTATCAGTATTCAAATTCCTCCTTAAGTGTCCAATATCTCAAGGCATTAGTTATTCTAACTTTAGAAATCAGTTCCCCTAAAGCTGGCTTCCTAGGCTCTATTCCCTGTCTACCCAGGCACAGAGCACTGGGAATCACTCGGAATCTTTCTTATTGCCATTACTTCTCAAAAGCATTATTTCTCTCTTCAAATTTTAATGACTGTGTCTTCCAAATAACTTGGTTCCCGAGCATCCCTTCCTTTTACGTGCCAGTACATGGTTCATGCATCGTCACCTTTGCAAGAGTCTTCTGTTTGTTCTTGTTCTCCCCCCACATACCTTGCCTCCATGCTGTTTTCAAGCTATACTATACCCAGCCAGATCTGTCTACCTCACCCATTGTTAGTAATGACCCACTGCATGCACACAGACCAGCTATGTCTAATAATCTTAGTCTGGAAATTTTTGGTTTCCATGTCCCTTTCTGAGCCCATTACAAGTGACTTATTCCTGGGCTTATTCTCACCAGCTTGTTGAACGTTTCTAAATGTGTCCTGCAATTTCCAGCTTCCATTCCTGTGCACATTATTCCTCTTGAGCTTCCCTGAGCCAGCCATCACCTATTTCTTCTTTTTTATAAATTTCTCTCCAACTCCCAGTGTCTAACTCTAATATCATCCCTCTTAAAACGTTCCTGCAGGGAAACTAATCACAATGCCTTCACGTTTTGTGTATCTTTGTACATGCTCCCACTTTAGCACCTATCCTATTGTTCCAGGTACATTATCTTTATTCTGACACTTCTTTGGCTTTAACTCCCAGTGGACAAGAATCACTTTGTATAACAGCCCTCATGCTTTATATAATGCCTGAGACAAAGCAAGAACAGAATTAACTGGTTTTATAGTGCTTTACTTTATATTTATTTCTGAGAAAAAAAATGAATGGGCTCGTCTAAACCTGCTTGCAAGTTTTTAACCAACTGCTAAGGTTAAATAGTAACTTGACACACAGTCATACCTAAAAATCACATTTGATGCTTTGGATGCTGGCACAACTGTCACAGACTGGTACAGTCCAGCAGCATCTGGTTCCAAGGAAGGAACTGCAATTCACTCATATTAGAATCAAGGTTAAATATCCCAACAGCTTATCACCCTGAGCAGTGCGGCAGACAGGCTGTGAGATCTAGAAGCTATGAGAGGCATGCTTTTATTAACTGAAATAAAACATTTTAAATAATTAATCTACCTTTCTTATAGCATAAAAGCATTAAGTACCAGAAAAGATCATTGAACTTTAAGGCTGACAATCCAGACTTTTAAAACTTTCTGAAATTTACTCAGAAGTATTGCCCTGGACAAGCCATTGCTCCAAGCCTGTTGGATAAAAAAATTCTTCTGACGCTTCTTAAAATGTTCAGGCCAATTTTATTGAGGACCACTGCAATGCTCGTAAGGGTTATTGCAATGGAGTTCTACAGTCGGGGTGGGGTGGAGATTTGGCTGATTCTAAATGCAACAAAGAAAATAGAAATTAAAAGCCAAGAAGCAGGATGAGGATCTGTGAATGGAAAATATCCGATGGTAGGGAATTTCTTTACTAGGTATACATCATTAGGTTCTTGCTGAATGCAGGCCAGTATGATCAGATATTGAGTGAGGACACTAGAAGTTACTGAGGCTATGGTAATTCCTGGTAAACTGACTTACTGAAATTCTTGCTAAAGTTAGGATTTCCAGAGCATTCTCAAGATCAACGCCTAGTTAAAACATAACTCAGGGGAGCTGTCCACAAATGAATGAGAGAGAGTATTTGCCGCATCCCACTGTATTATTAGTACGACACATTTAACTCAGCTCATCCTCAGCCTCCTTTTGGACTTTAAATTTTTATTAACTTAGTGCTAAGCTGTTTTGTAAGCAACAACTTTCTTCATCCTATCTATAGCGAACATCTTGTAAGAACTAAATTCTTAGGGCTCCCTGCATGACTGATATCACAACAAACTCCCTTCCAGAATCCAAATAGCCCTCATCAAAGGCAGCATACTCAGCACCATGCAGTCTCTCTTTTCACAAGCTGCATGCAGATTCACACTAACTTTGCTCTTTCCCAGAATTGGCTGCTGAGAGTAGGGACTTCCCAACAAAGGATGAACTCTACATCCCAGCCTCTTCCAGGCCTCCAGCAGTTTCTGCTCATTCGAGCTCACAGAAGCAAGTATCGCTCACTGAAGACACCTAAAGGAGCCAGCAAGCCTGTGGAATCAAAGGTGCCCTTTACCCTGTCCTTTCCCACATTACTGTTGTACACTGCCTTGACCACAACGTTCTGTGGGCGCATTTGTCCAGGAAAGAGGGCAGATGGCAGGGAGCACGCTCAGCCTTGTTGCCAGGACAGCTGTGCCTGCAGAACTTGCTATGACAAGAAAGCAAACTTTCCTCTATCTTGAGGCTCCAGACATCTGCCAGGAGGAGTATGAATGTCACTTAAAGGAAACAGGTTCATTTCATCATTGTAAAGTTAGCCTTCCCAGTCTAGACACTAGCATCATTAAACTGAAGAGTTCCAAACTCTGAAACCAGGACACATGTACACTGAGTGCCTTCTACCAGTTTGTATGTTGAAATGCTCTATGTACACAGCTAAGCTGAAAGGTGGCATGTGAGATATGCACAGTCATGGGACTCTGGTTTCTGTGCCTTAGCTCAGGTGACTCTTGCTCTGTTTCAACATTTGGGAAGTGGAGGGGTGTTTTTCTGTGTGTGTCTGTGTGTCTGTGTGTGTGTGTGTGTGTGTGTGTGTGTGGTGTGTGGCGTACTCCTATCATCTCTCATTTGTTCTATATGCTTTCCTTAATTATTTCCAGAACATAAAAAGCACAATAAATCAATAATCAATAATCATACAGAATTAATGTCGGTATTTGTAAACAACATATAACTGAGTATTTTTACATTTATGTGTATGTTGCTGTTTGAGTGTAGATGTGTTCCTATAGATGTGTACATACGTGAATGGGTGGATGTGTGTGCATATGTGGAGATCAGAGGTGTCTTCCTCAACTACATTCATACGTATATAT